TGTCAATAGATGACAACCATGGTCTGTATATTCTGTTGACACGCACACCTGAATATTCACCTAAACATCTTTATATATGCAATATACTGCCAATATGCAATATACTAGTACTATTTTCCATGTCATTTGAATGAATTTTAAAGCGCAATAACTCAATAAACAAGTACCCAACAAACGTGAGAAAAATATATACACCTACCGGTATTCACATAATTAAAAGTAAAATCATTAAGAATACAATTTTATCATCAAGACTTAAATTACGAAAGCTATTTTAAATCATATACAGTAACAATTTAAATATAATCTTTGAGAGTACAACATTATTATAATAACAAATAATCATTTATGATATATAGCTCCTGTAATTGTTCTTCATATAATAAAAGCGGAGAACACTTTGATCAGCAACTTCAGCGGTTTATGCAGGCTAAACTAAAATAAAAATATTCTACATTTGTTCTATGCTCAAAATAGATGTGGGAGATGTGTTTTGAGTGCTTATATTACAGTTGATTTGGCAATGAAGGAAAAAGTGTTCCTCATAATCTAAAATTTTACAAACTTAACACACTCTGTGTTCTCTTCGAATTTTTTTTCTCGACCGATTTCAATTTCCCAGTTATGGTCACTTACGCGGAATTTGTACAGTACATATACTGAATTCGTTTTTGACCAGAAATATATTCCTTAGACGTGTTCAAGTATGCAAATAAATTCATAGGGTATCATATGTGGTAGTTGAAATTATTCAGTGAACTAATTGTGCGTCCGTCGTCGTCTTTCATACATATCAAATGATGTATCCACTGCATGTTTGCTGATCGTTGTCTGTTAGGCCTTGCTCTCCAAATTATAGCCCTCACTTATGTAATGATCAATCATAAGTGTGTGTTGGGGGAGGGGGGGGGGGGACTTTTTTTCTCGGGTCAAACATTTTTTCTTTATTAAAAAAAAACAGTAAATAATTTTCTATATTCTATCATTAGATTAACCGATGTATACTTTAGATGTTGAATTAAATAAAGATTTAAAAACAATAATACATCCTTAACATGTTACAGCACTCCCTCTGGTGCTTATTGCACTAAAGATTTCTTAAGCTTAGCATTGTTTAGACGCACCCAATTTTTTTTCAGAGGCACGGAGTTGAATATTCACGGAAATTAAACTTGAGAAGTCTATACAGATGTACGAAAGAGCTACACACTAAAAGACATTTTAACAGACTTGCTATCGTATTTTCTCATAATATATACATATCTATATATTAAGATGAGGGTCCGGAGGGGATCCTCCATTACTCTATTCTTTATTTTTTTGTCCATTAATCTGTATTGTGTAAACCCAAATCCAAACCCTCATACATGTTTCTCTTGTCTTAAATAGAAAATGTTTGAAAAGGAAACATAACATTCGTTTATTTTTAGCTATTGCATGTCAGTATACGTCGATATCGGTTTGTAGTAGTCTTTCATGCAAACAAACTTGTCACACGATGAGCATCTGCGTGTAATATTTGTCGCTGGAATATATATGGTCGGCTTTCGCAACAAGAAACAGTGTATTTACGTAAACTTTTAATTTTACATGAAATCCAAATGAACCTTCTCTAATGTTCAGGTTTTTTTTACAGACTATTTAAAACCCTGATTTCACGGTTGTTTTTCATACATGTTACTTGAGAAATGTGTATATATGCATGCTCTTTTGTTAATGTTTTTCGACTTACATGTATGTAGAATGACAGTCATACAAGTGGGAAGTATTCAGTACATGAATTAGTGCCTATGACAAGACTACTGTAACTATATGTGAAAGATAATTGCACGTAAACGGCTTCAGGTCATGATTAAAAAATCCTAGTTTTTATTGTAATTGGGATACGGGCAGACAAGGGTGGGTGTGCGAATTTGATTAATTTGTGACACTATCTTGGAAAATAAAAGAAAATAACCAAAACTTCAAAGACTTTGATTTGTCTCCGAATTAACCTAAGCGAGATTTAGGTGGGGAAAGGGAGTTTTTATGTTTTTTTTAATTAAGGGTTCTGGACCAGCACTCTTTTTAAAAGAGACTAACTCCATTCAATGTAATATTATTCCCAGTTTTAACTTTTAACAAAAACATTCAGTAAAATTTTAAACAACCCAATTATATGATACATGTAATGGTACAATCTGTTTGAAGGAACGGAATGAATAAAATAAAACCGAAAAAAACTTGAATGAGCGTCGTGCATTGATTTGTTCCTATTGAAATGATAATTTCTAGTTTTGAAATTAGACTTATAATTCAGTTAGATTGTACATTATTTCAAAATCAAAGCTGCTTGGAAATTTACCTATTATAAACTACATAGGCCTACGTGTATCTGTATATAAATTGACCAATAATTAACTTTTAGATTAAAAGATAATGTGCTACGGCATGGAACCAAAATTGTGTACGATATGTCATTTATTTTATTTCTTGAAGCATAACCAAGTTGAATCTGCCGTAAAGAATGTTGACTAATTACTAGTGATACTGTTTACAACATAATTTTACATGTTTTACATGTACACATAGTTTTGCAATATTTAATTTTGGCATATTTTGTTTTAAATATGCCGGGTTGTGAGTCGATATTTGCACATGTAAATTTTGAACAGAAAAAATAGAAAATCCGCTGTTGAAATTTTTTGGAACTGATTTATTTTTGCAATTAATAAACGCTTATATTTCTAATTAAAAGTTGTTTTGGAATGTTACGGTTTTAAACACATATACGTAAAATATTAAGTCATTTTAACAAAATAAATAAATGTACAAATGCACTCGACGATTATTTTATAATTTACACAATTAGTTGACGCGAAAAGTAAACGTGCGTTTACTTTCAAGTGCACGTAAAAATACAATTGAGAAGTCTGTAGTAAACGCCCGTTTACTTTTAAGTGCACGTTAAATAAACTTGTGAAATATGAAGTAAACGCGCGTTTACTGCTGACTAAACGGACACAGAGTAAACGCGCGTTTACTCGAGTAGACATTAGAAATTTCCATTTTGACCGTGTTAACGTAAATGAAGTAAACGGGCGTTTACTAGTAAACGCGAAATTCAAAGTTAACTAACGAAATATGTGCACGCCGCGTAAACTTGCGTTTACTTTATGTAATGCTTGGTCTGCACCTAACTGTTTTAGTATATATTGTATTACTACGATCCTAGCTTTTAAAAAAACCCAGTATCATCCGTTTACTAATTTTTCATTTTCATTTAATATCGCGTCACCTCATGTCCTTTAGAACTATTTCCATGGGTGAACAATCTTTTAGAAAGTGCCCATGGCAATATCCAAAGGCAAAACGTCCGGATGAATGAAGATAACTCTCCATTTCTGAAAAATAATGGAGAGTTTAAACCAAAGATTTACGTCACAGGTGTAATTTATTCCTAGATACATGATATTTTTTATTGGGTTTAGGCTTTGAACTAGCCATCAATAACTGTGAATACTCTCAAATCTGTACTTTGTGTCTTTTATGTTTTTGTTAGGGTGTTATTGTGCTTTGTATCGATCTGGTGAGGTTAGCCCTTTTAAATTGATTTCCATAGTTTATTCTGATGTTGTACTGTTACACTACTGTCCTAGGTTAGGGAGATGGTTTACCGGCAGCAGACTTGTTTAACTCCGTTACATTTTGTACGTGGCTGTCCTATGTCAGTCGTCTGTAAATCGGAGGTTGTTATTTGTTGCTGTATATCATATTTGTTTTTCGTTTATTGTTTCGTACAAAAATGAGGCCGTTAGTTTTCTCATGTGAATTGTTCTACATTTGTCATTTCGGGACGATTAGACCGTACAGTTACCTATATTGGTTAACTTCTATGTTCTCTGGTGAAGAGTTGTCTTATTGGCGATCATACCACATCTTCTTATTTTTATTATTCAAAATCATAAGTCAAAAACAAACTGACAACGCAATAGCAAAAAAACAAAACAAAAACAAAAACAAAGAGGAAATTACAACATTACGCAAAACACAACACAGAAAAATAAAGACTGAGCACCACGAACCCTGGGTGATCGTAGGTAAGCAATTTCAGTTTTACATGTGGCATCCATTGTGTTGCTCATGGAAGTATGAAACCCGCTGATAAGTCTAATTTGGTAGGTCACATTTGAGGAATAGAGGACGGAATTGTGGTCACCACAATTGGAACATATCCGTCGACATCAATGACTGATCTTTTTTGTTGCCTAGTAATTATAATTTATATAATTTAAATAATCAGAGAAAAAAAAAAAATCCCTGAATATAAACCGAAAAAATAATCCGATTTAAAAAGCAAAATATTAATTAACTAAATGTTTATTTTTAACACTAAATGGCAAATATTTTATGCATATTCAGAACGACAATTACTAGCAATTGATAAAAGACATTTTCCACAAGGCAGTTTAAACTTGCCACCAGAAAATGAGTTTTTTTTTATAGGGGTAGCATATTTGCCGTGAAACAGGCCAATTTTGGATGCATGAGAGAGGGTGCAAAGGTTCATGAACGTGCAGAGAGGTACATACTCCCATGTTGGACTTGACATGTATTTGTTTACGTATTTGTACATCCCGCACAGCTAAACGAACGCCCCCACTGCAACAAGGGTTTACTATCGGACAGGGGAAATCTAAGGATGACCACATTTCTATACCGTCGTCGTAAGAAACCAAAATAAGAGCCCGAGGTGCACAACGACACTAAGAACTAACGAAATTTTTATTAAATTAAGATAAGGGGTTAAGTTTCCGATCTTGGAGTTTCACAAAGTCCATGCCGTGTTTCTGCGAAAGTGTTACATAATTCTTTCTCGCAGTTAAGGAGCAGTAGCGGATAGAAAAATGGGGTGAAAGGTTGATAAGACGGGCAACTCCAAAGCTATATAAGCAAAACATACTAACTTCTAGGGATGAGTACAATAAAAATTGTTTTAAAGAGTGTAAACAGGTTTGAGGTATTCATATTTCAGAATTTATAACAACTGTTGTAAGAAAATTATAATAACTGTAAAAATAATTCATTAATTACAAATTAAACCAAGAAAAGTATGCATGTGTCTTAATCAGATTTTGCACATTTGTTCGATCCATCCAAGCAGTGCAAATGTGCAAAAGTGAATTAAATTAAGGCGAAGAACTTAAATCCTAAACATTTTTTTGTAAATATGGACATGTATCTTCAGGTTTGTTCGTATAAATGTATTAAAATGCGGCTTCTAAGCAAGCATATACGATGTAAGTCCTAAACCAATGACAGTCAGGTTGACAAGAATACTTCCGGCACCTGTAAAGAAAAAAAAAACAACAAGTTATGTTAAACATCTGTAACTTTTTTAATATGTTGATCGTGAAATATAAAAAAAGTTGAATATTGAATGTATAATTACTTGCTGGACGTAAACTCGAACTGCTCCCCTCCCTCCAAAAAGCAACAACGAAAATCAAATTGTGTTAAAAAAGTGTTCATACTATAACAATTTTATAGATGACAACATGCCCTTACAAACATTCTCTGAAAACCTGACAAAACTCAATTTGGGGTCGGCACCCTGATAATATTTTCCCAACGACTAATATTCAATAAAGACATTTCACCATTAAGGTGTACCTGTTTTAACAGACGTCGAAAGTAGTACTATATAGTTTATAGAAGCTAGTAATTTGTATGGGACTAATTTATCAGTCATCTTATAGTTCAAATCGCTTTTAATTTTAATTTTAACAGAAGGACACAACATGGAGATGCAAACTCTTACAGAAAATATCAACGTGGGACTCGTCAAATTAGTACGCAGGAAATTCAATGGCTACGCAGCGTATAAGTGGTAACGTTTTGTTGGCAATAATGTAATTGGATCAGTTTTATAATTTTGGTAGATTGAATCAACATAAACAGATTTTTTTATTTTAATTTACTTGATATGCTATAATATAATCAACATGGCAATCGGTTTAGATTTTTTAAAATTTTTTCAAAATTTCCGATTTTCCCTTAAACTTAACGGGGTGCTTATTTAACGTAGGGTCTTCTTAAACTCGGTTGAATTTATGTTTATTGAAACCGGTAGTTTTTCTAATAGACCTATGTTTGTATTTTCCTGCATTTGATTTTTGATTATTGAAATATTTGGAATTCTGTTGGTGTCCATATTGCTTTAGACTGTGAGCCTCTTTCCAAGAACCTTGAAACAGTTATAGCAGTTAGCCTATTATCTCCGTTATTATGATACTACAATTCTTTAAAACACTTCGTCAAAGGTACATTTGTATCTGGTGTATCCTTTAGTACATAAGGCACATCACCGGTAAGCAATTAAGAGTAACATATGAGTGTATATCAAAGGATAATTAAGATTTAATATATTTACCACAACCGTACTGAGATGCAGCCTTTTTGCCTGCGTCAATAATGATCTTAGATACACTCGCATCGCAGTCGTCATCCAAACATGTCAGAAAGATATTCACTGCACTGTTTTTTAAAAAGAAATAACCAAAACAGTATAATAGCATATAAACGAAGTTTAATATCAAAGTTGCATATTAATGTCTTAAATATATTCAACTGTTTCATAAATTTGTGAGTAATATACATCTAATATCGAAGTTATTATTTGTAAACCAAATCTATTGCTAAAAGTTACTTTTATTGATTGAAAGGCACATCTTTTTTCCTCAATTCCTCATTTTCATGTATAGCATGTTATAAGTAGATAAAAATGACGCATACCAATGGAGCAATGTTTAATTGTGCAAATAACAAAACAAGTTCTATATAAAGCAAAATCTTACTAGCATATTCTCTCCTTGTCTTGCAATGCGTTTGTTATTGAGCTCGTGAAAGTTGTGCGGCAGGCAGCACAGTCCTGTGCTTCAGTTCCTGAATAAAGTATTATTAAACATATTTTGATAGTTTTATTTAAGAGTAACCTATGATTAAGTTTAGTCGTAAGATTAATTTTTAGAAAAGAATCCATCACCTAGAAAAATAAGATTCTTCCTCTGGACGCATGGAACAAAAAAAAACATGTAGTGACACAAAAGACCCCAATGATCAAATTTTACGAAATATTAAAGTATAATGCTAATTTAGCTCAAAGAAATATCGTGCTTGTATCTATCGAGTCTGGTTGTTAACGTGCAAAAGTTACATTGTTGTAATGAGTAAACACAAATCAAGGCTCACAATTTTAATTGAATTCTATATTCGAAATAACTAAACATTTTATGAAATCTTATTAAGGTTTTGATTGCTGATTAATATGAATTCAGGAGTTGACGGGTAATGGTTAACGATACAGGTCTCCAGCAACACAAATAAATCCAAGACGTCTACTCAAGCTTCCGTTTGTTTTATAATATTCATGTAGGTTTGTTTGTCAATACAAATACGTGTTAAGGGCAATTTTTTAAATTATAATTTTATGACGGAGTTGTGTCCCTCCTTAGGACACTTATACTTTGTAGATGCACGAATTGCTATAACAACTATCCCTCGACGTATGAAAAACGGTCGGAAACTTTGCTGAGATGAATAAGCTTGTAAAAGAGGGACGAAAGATACCAGAGGGACAGTCAAACTCATAGATCGAAAACAAACTGACAACGCCATGGCCAAAAATAAAAAGACAAACAGACAAATAATAGTACAGATGACACAACATAGAACACCAAAGACTAAGCAACACGAACTCCACCAAAAACTTGGGGTGATCTCAGGTGCTCCGGATGGGTAAGCAGATCCTGCTCCACATGTGGCACCCGTCGTGTTGCTTATGTTATTACAAATCCGGTAAATAGTCTAATTCGGTAAGTCACATTCGAGAAAAGGGAGGGTATTGTAGTTACGACATAAGGAACATATGCGATATCATCTGTGAAACGGTTATTCCATAACGGTCAGCCAACTCGTGATGGCGTCCGTAAAATTTACGAAGGGATGACTTCAACTTCACTATTTGAAAATAAAGTCATCAAATTATAAATAAATATTAACAAAAGATTATGTCAAATAACAAGAAAAGCTTTTATAGCATAATTCCAATTGGTGTAATACATTGGCATTAACAAACCTTCTGAGACGCCATGATAGTTAATATCAATTGTAAATGCACTACAGTCAGTGGGCAAATCTTTTAATTACCTAATTTGAACCAACCAATAAATAGTCAAAGCAAAGCTGTTTCGCAATTTGTGTTTATAGTTAAATAATAATTAAAAATACACTAGAACATCGTTGATATTCATAACAGGAAACGCTTAACCTGTAGATACGACCAGTCTCACTACTTTTACAGTTCATGCTAATTGTTTAATTGTTACCTTGATTTGTATATTTTTAATCGAAAGATGAGATTTGAACATCGTAAACAAGTGTTGACTAAATTTTGTATATCGCGTTCATAACATAATTGATAAAAATATTACATAAATGGTTTGTTTTGTTTTTAGATTTAGTACTTTTTATAAAAATTAATTATTGTAAGCCTGTCCTTGAAAAATGACAAGAAGCAATTGGAAGTCGAATTTAAAAGACAACCGTAGTGTCACATCTGTTTAAATCCTTTGATGAGTAAGTGCGCAGCGCATATGTTAATTATCAATTTTAATCTATCATTTTTCCGTATTTGAAATCTTGGATAAGTTATTCTATTCGTTATATTGACCATTAGCCTTTTTTATTTATAGAAATAAAGGAGACATAATTTCTGCTACGTATTTTCAACTCCTTTGAATGCATCGTTACCCGCAATGTCTTAGCAACACCAATTGTTGAAAGAATTTACATGCAAAAAAGGTTCGATCTATTTTTATTTGAAATCACGGTATTTCATTTCAACCATGTAAAAATTGTCGTTAATCGGACAACCCATAAATATTTACAAGTACATAAACATCTGAAAAAGAAAATGTTCTAACCCTTTAGAAATGACAAAATTTGATTAAATGCCATTGTAGACATCAAAATAAAAATTATCTAAGAAGACAACACAGATCTAAAGAAAAAATATCTTACCTTGCATGAAAATACTAATAAACACAAGACAAATACTGAGACCAATGACAGACAGTGTAGACATTCTCCTGGTTTAAACTGTACAAAGAAACAAAATTTACAAAATGAAATATAAAAAGATGAAAAAAAAAAATAAAAAAATAAAAACTGCACCCAATTCAATCAAATATAATAACAACAATAAGTATCAAGATAAAAAATATCAATCACAATCAAATTATTTACAATATAACAACTCGTTGTCAAGTCTAAATCAAAAAAGGAAACACACACAATTTTATTGAAGAAAAAAGACCGGTACTTTAAATGAAACGAAAGGTTAAAAATCATAATCATAAGAGGAAGCATGTATGAAATATAATCAGACATAGTAATTTTGTAGTAATTTACTATTTAACATCCAATTAGTAAACAAAAAGAAAAGTTGACGATTATGATCAAATACTAGCATGAATTATTTGGGTTTGTTAATTTAAACATGTACAATGCACAAATAAAACATTTTGTTTGAGAAAAAAATATAGAACCACAAACAGCCTCATAATTTCGAATATTTAATGAAATATTACCTGATTGGTATAAATAAATGTTGCTGTTGTCGGTTACATAAAAGCCTTAATGAAGTTTCAATCCTTCTGAAATAACAAGCCTAAAATCTTTGATGAGTTATAAGCTCAATTTATATATACTTGGCCACTTCTTAATTTCACAAATCACTTGATCCACCTATTTTGTACTTGAGTCCAATCAAGTTTCAAGTTTTGTGTCACTCTTAGTTTACACTATAACAATAGGGAAATAGGGAAATGGTAAATTATATTACGCCATAGATCTTCTGGCTAGGCTTGAGATGGATTTTGCTTCATATTCAAGAGTACATTTTTCTTTGAGATTGTTTATATTTACCGCTGCAAAGACAAATAAATAATAAAATTCATTTCCTATCAGTCCTTTTTTGAATTTATTGACGAAGCGCTCCAATAATATACCACCTTCTAATTTTAATACGAAAACTAACTATAAGTTGCAACAGTGGGGTTAACTTTATTAAAATCGGGTGTTAGGCTTGAGACAATAAGGTAGCTATTTATAGACACAAAACTGTTTCAACTGAGTATAACTCGGGTCTATAAAATAGAATTGAGAATGGAAATGAGGAATGCGTCAAAGAGACAACAAACCCGACCATAGAGCATAAAACAGCCCAAGGCCACCAATGGGTCTTCACCATAGCGGGAAAATACCGCACCCGGAGGCGGGCTTCAGCTGGCACCCTAAACAAAAATGTGTACTAGTTTAGTGAAAATGGACGTTACACTGAACTCCGAAACATATAAATGAACTAAAATTTAAAAAAAACATACAAGACTAACAGAGGCCAGAGGCTCCTGACTTGTGACAGGCGCAAAAATGCGGCAGGGTTAAACATGTTTTGTGAGATCTAAACCCTCCCCCTATACCTCTAGCCAATGTAGAATAAACAAACGCATAGCAATACGCACAGTAAAACTCAGTTTAAAAGAAGTCCGAGTCTGATACAGAATAGGTTACAAAAGAAACTGAGCAAAATGACAATGATACATAAATTAACAAAGGACTACAAGCAGTGACTGACATGCCAGCTCCATACCTCAATTAAACTGATGGAAAGATTATGTCTTCATCATATGAAACCAAGCACAATCCCTCCCGTTAGGGGTTTAGTATCATGACATCATAAATTATATGAGAAGAACATAACCCGTGTCATGCCAACAACTGGTTTTATAATAAATGTGTGTATTTCCGATGCAAAGACCCTATGATTGAATCAATATTATTTCCAAAATATGACATCTTGAATGACCTGACAACAGTATCGTTACTATATCCCTTCTGAATAAGTCTGTTTAAAGGTTTGGTTAGCTTTTTAGGTGAATGACGACATTTTTGTGCTTTGTATAGAATATTACCATAAAAGATTGGATGTGAAATACCTGAACGTATAAGATGTCTGCATGTTGATTTATATTTACGCATGATGTCCTTGTACCGATGATAAAATTTAGTAAATGTTTTGACTGGTTTGTGATATCGAAAACCCTGGTGTAAAAATTGTTCAGTAATAGAGATTTCTTTTGTTAAAATCAAATACGTTGTTACATACACGAGCGAATCGAACAAGGTGTTTTGTGCAGCTTCTGAAGCCAGTACATAGTTGGAACTTTCATTGTATTTGGTTCTACTTGTAAACAGGTAGCTAAAAGTTTACGTTTGTTACAGATGTCATTTTTCAAAAATAGAGTCAGTTGGAATGTTGGTGAATTCGTGATTTCCTTTTGCAGAACCTAAATGTAAAAATTACGTCAAACAATAATGATATTATTGGCAGCCTTATCAGCCGGAACAAAAACAAATTCCTTGTTCTTTTACCTTATGTTTGATACGAGAAATAGAGCTATTATGGTTGTTGCTAGGAGTAAAATGTTTTTTACAATGTTTAGGTGTAATACCACCATTGATTGTCCCCTATTAGTCTTTGTTAAATTTGCACTTTTCAAAAAATTGTGCAGAATTTATCTTTGTTTCAAATAAAGAAATACTTGGCATGAGTAAAGTTTTATCCTGTTAAGAACTATAGAAAAAATTTCACATAACATTTCATTGCATGTAAGAAAATAACCATCACTGGAAGTTAACCAGTCAAATTTTGCCCCTTTTTTAACCTGTGTACAAGCTTTAGTAACCATGTAACCTCAAGTTTCCAAAATATTCTATAGAAACCCCAAATAAAAAAATAATGGTGCTATGTAATACCCAAGATATATGTTTATGACCCAGAAATGTTTTACTGCAATGAAATGTAGGATCAATTACCTACAACTGTCAAATTCAAGGGAATATTTTTTTTCGACCTATTTTCGTATGAAACCGGATGTGACGTACTATGATTTGGTGTTATTACACCTTTAATACGAATGTCAACTATGTTCATTACTTAATTTAAAAAAGAATCTAAGGATGTTATGTCAGCTTTTTCTCGTTTTATCCATTTCGCGCAGTAAGTACGGAGTGAGTCGTTGATGATATTACGACACTCATTCCAATTAATAATTGACGGGGCGATATTTAGATCCTTTACTGAGGAATAATTTCAACTCTTGGTCATGGACGATGTTAAAGTCTCCTGTTATAACATGGGAACTGGGGCCATAAATGTATTCGAAATTACTGCAATTTCATGACGTAGGTGTACTGTCACTTATATTAACATCTCTACATACTTCGCTATAATTAAACACATATTTCCGGGTTGATTTTTTGTAAAGATAACAGATAAGAGGAAGCTCAGTATTTTCAGAATAGCCAGAAATTTGATCTTTAACGGAATGATCATTAAAAATACCAGCAATATTTACAAAATCAAAACCTTTATTGACATATTTGATTTTAATAAATTGTTTTTTATTATCTTAATGGCGATCAATTTTAGGAAACAGTTTAGAATAACAACATGCAATTATTTTGGACGATTTCATATTTAGGACTGCAATATGGAATTGTGTTGCAATCCTTTTAAATTTGATGTAATTTATTAACAGGTAAAGAACAGAGCTTGGTTAACAGATAATGTCTGTCGTTGGTTTTTTTTTGAAATAGTAATTAGGTCCGAAAAATTTGTATTGTTGGTACGAAATTTTCTCTGATGCGATTTATTCTACGCCTATTTATGTCTAGATTTTTAATACAATGCCATTTCCGTACTTATTGATCAAATGATATTCCTTTAACAAAACGTGCTATTGTTTTCTTATTTATTCAAAACGCCCTGAATATACCATACGCAATTTGGAAAAGCGCATCTATTGAAGTTAAATTGATACCTTTAATGTTATTAAGCCTATGCAATCAAGGGAACACTTGATTTGGACCAACTGCTTATTATTACTCAGTCAATTGCATGCTGAGCAGTATTTGATACATGCTTGTTTCACCATAAACTTAGAGTTTAGCATAGTTGATTTAACTGACATCAATCTTTCCAAAACCTTGAGATGTACTTTATCTTTTTAAAAATATAAATATTTTTAACTCCTTAACTGCAAAGTATATAACAAAATGCATGCATCAGTTAACATTTGATATATTTGTAAAAGAAGATAAATATTGATTGCAGATGTCAGTTTGTGGTTGCATTAGCAAGAAATTGTTGACCAATTTCTTTTATCAAATCAGTAAATTTTGCACGATAAACTGGATGAAATCCGGTTTATTTCTTTCATATAATGGAAAGTTGTTGTGGGGTTGAATCAAACAGACAACAATCTTACAATATTTAAAGCGAAACGACGAATAGAAGCATATTCACAAAGCATCCATTAATTCATAGACCCGTTGATATCTCCGTTAAGTTTCCATTCATTTTCATTTATATCACACAGCCCCCGTTATTTAACGTACCCGTTAACGTGTCCTTTAAACGTTTCGTTGAAATCGCAAATAAACGGATACGTTAACGTACTGGTAAACGGGCACTTGACAGTACATGATATGCATGTGTAAAACTTATTAGATTCGAAATGTTTTGTAATATTTGATATAAATTCATCTATTTTGAAATTGAAGATTAGTAAAAAAAATATCCAAAAAATAGAAATGCCTGTAAGAAAAAAAATGACAACTACTGTACAAAAAATTCAAGCTGAGACCATTATGCCATTCATTAAGTTATTTCATTGAGCAGATTATAAGATCCCTTGAGCTTTCAGCTAGCAAATGTGAGGTACTCAACCACTTCAGGGAGAGGCTAAGAATAGATTTCCTCCTCACAAATTGCAGGACAGGTGATCGCATTGTTGTGTGCAAACCATTTGATCCACCGCTTCCAAAGTCATTAAAGATTGGAAAATACTGGGCCACAATCAACCATTATGGTCAGCAACAAACAAACAGACCAAATATGAAATGTAGTAAGTGCTTATCCGAAGGTCATACAGCAAATGTCTGTCCGAATGGATGGAAGTGCAAAAAATGTGGTCAAACAGGCCATAAGCAGTATGAATGCGACGAAAACTCAGAAGGAGAATTTGAAGGTAATGATTCATATATGACTAACACTGATGGCGATAATAAACAAGATAATTCTAATGTTCACGACAATAGTGAGAATTATGAGCAGAATCAAGACCATGATGATATCGACAAGCCAAGTCAGGAGAGTGAGGTCCATTTCCGGAGTTCGACACAACCTCTCATGAGTACCGAGGATAAGAGTAGGTCAGAGAGTGACAGAGAACATTCACAATCGATCCTCGATAATCACGATAGGGTGTCCGCCAGAAAAGACAATTCACCAAAAAAGAAGGAAAAACCAAAACATCCTAAAAGTGATGACAGGAGACCTGGCATCTCAAGATATTTAATAAAACCTGATCATGAGCAGGCTAATGCAACAAACAAAACGCCTAACAAGTCAAGAACAAGAACTCAAAACATTGAAAAATCACCAGTAACGCCAACTGAAAATTTACACGACGCTACAAGAGAGGAAGCTGCAAAGAAGCAGAAAAAGAAACCATAAACTGTATATATGTGTAAAGAACTACAAAAAATAAAGACTAAAATTTATTTATTATAACAATAATAAAAAAAATTTAAAAAAATCGAAAAACCAAAATGCATTATAAAAATCACATTCCTCACAATACTGTCTGTATAGCACTGTTTTTACTTATTTTTAACTGTATATATTATCCAGAATATCATTTAAACTGTTTGAGTGGTATAGCTGTTGAAGGTTATCCACAATCAATTCAGGTAGTTGTTATCCTGAAAAAGACAAATAAAACAATTAATCAATTTGTAAATGGAAATAAAAACAATATGTATGAAATTATGTATAAGAATGTAAAAATATGTAAGAAAAAGGGAAATAAGTGTTACTCTGAAAGCCTAGCTAATAAAGTAGTATGCTGTGTAAAAGTAGTTATTTGTTTAATAACTTTGATAATCATGTTATACAAAATGTATTTGTGGAGTATATTGTATTTTAATGTACTAAATAGGTGTTTATGTATCATCTTACAAATAAACATAAAAAGCTCTATTCACAACAAATTAAGTAAAGTTAAAATGAACTCCTCAAAACTAGATGAAATAACATTGACCAGACAGGCTATAAATAGGATGAGGTCAAAATATAGATCGAATACAATTGTAAATAGAGAACTAGTATACCTGGGGAGCAGGTGTTTAAATTTCTTACAGAATAAACATTATAAAAGTGATAAATATATTAATCACAGATTATCAAAAACTAAGTACAAAAAAAAAATCAAGTAAGATATGTTAATGCTTGTGATAAAGAACTGCTCAAAATATTAGACAGCCATTTAAAGAATCATATGAACAAAGATGTAGATTTCAACTCCACAGGTAAATATCTCAGATCTGATAATCTAATAGAAATCATCCAAGCATGTAAAGTCTATGAAACGGATAAAAGGAAAAAAATAAAAGAATTCAAAGTTAAAATAAATGTAGGCACAATCAAAAGTAATAAACAAATAATGCTGAAGATAAAATACTACAGAGATAATAAGAATAATTACTCACCATGCTTGGAGTTCAGGAAGATAAATAAATTTAACTATAATCCACCATGAATAAATATCTGCATATATGTACGGTCAATGCTAATGGCCTGCAGCAACCTGACAAAATAATTAAAATAGTTAGTTGGGCAAATCAACAAAAATGTGATATAATATTTATTCAAGAAACTCATTTCACAAATTTAATGCAAGATACTTTGAATAAAGAATTTGGTGAAAATCTTTTAAGAAGTGATGGAAGAAGTAATTCGCGTGGGGTAGCAATATGGTTAAGGGATGGAATTCATTTCAAAATTATAGATGAACACAAGGATTCTGAAGGGAGATTTATCTTAATTCACATTGAAATTAATGAAAATATCTACACACTAGTTAATATCTATGCTCCAAATAGATTAAGAGAAAGAAATAGTTTTTTCAAAAAAGTTAAATCTTATATAAATAAAAATGGACTAGGCCAAACTATCCTTGGGGGCGATTTCAATGATATTTGGTCATTGACTGATACAAAAAACAAAACTAAATCCTCCAAAAAATTTGATAAACCAGTAACAAGTTTGAAAGGGCTGATAAAATCATCCAAATTAATAGATATTTGGAGAATCAAAAATAAAAACACAAGACAATTTACCTGGTGTAGAAAAGATAGATCAGAAGCCACAAGGATTGATTATTTCTTTATATCAAAAGAAGTACAAAAAAATTGTAAAAGTTGTGACATTAGACCTATAATCCAAAAACTAACTGATCATAAAACGGTATCATTAAAAATTAATACTGACAGGGGAAATAAGGGACGAGGCTATTGGAAATTAAATTCAAGTGTTTTAAATAATGAAGATTACACAATTTTAATCAAAAAGTTGATATCTAAATATGAAAAAGATTCATTCAACTGCAATGATCTGGGGATACTATGGGATAACTTGAAAATAGAAGTAAGGGATGCAAGTTTAGACTACTGTAAAATTAAAGCTAAATTAAAAAAGGATGAAATTAATATTCTAGAAAAACAACTGAATAATCTTAATAATGAAATAGATAATGGTATTGATAAAAGTCAAAACTTAAAAATAGAAATTGAGAAGGTTGAAAATAAGTTAGAGGGTTTGTATAAAGATAAAATTAAAGGGCAAAAAATTAGGTCAAGGGTAAAATGGTTTGAAGAAGGGGAAAAAAATAGTGCATACTTCTTGGGACTAGAAAAAAGTCGTCAAACAAAAAAGATCATAACTGAATTATATGATGAAAATGGATCTACGACAACTGACCAAGATAAAATTCTAAATTTACAAGTGAAATACTACAAAAAGCTTTACGAGTCAACTAATCCTAATGATAATGATGTTAAAATGTATATTAAAGAAACAGAAATACCAAAAAAACTAAAAGACTCGGATAGTATTCAATGTGAAGGGAATGTAACAGAAACTGAATGTACAGATGCAATATTTAAAATGAAATTAAATAAATCCCCTGGTCTGGATGGGCTGACAGTAGAATTTTATAGACAATTTTGGGGTAGTCTAAAGAATATTATGGTCAAGGTTTTCAATAATAATTTTGAAAAAAAAGAATTAACAAATTCTCAAAAGAAAGGTGCTATTTCGCTTATTTTTAAAAAGAATGACCCTTTTTCATTAAATAATTACCGTCCTATAACATTATTGAATATTGATACGAAATTACTAGCTTATGTGTTGGCACAGAGACTGAAAAATGTTCTTCCTTCTATAATTAGTCTAGATCAAACTGGATATGTCAAAAATAGATACATAGGTTTTAATATTAGACAAATACAAGACATTATAGATTACTCTGAAAAATTTAATATAGAAGGAGCAATACTTTTTTTGGATTTTAGTAAAGCTTTTGACTCTTTGGAATGGACATTTATGACAGAAACGCTAAAAAAGTTTGGATTTAAAAATGGCTTTATCAGATGGGTGGAAACTATGTATAATGGCATTAAAGGCTGTATTTTAAATAATGGGTGGGTTTCAGGTCCGTTTAAAATATATCGTGGTATACGACAAGGGTGTCCGATTTCTGCTCTTCTTTTTGTCATAATAGTAGAATTAATGGCAATAAGGCTAAGAAGTAATAAAGATTTTAAAGGAATAACAATAAAATTAGATGGAAAATCATGTAATTTAAAAATTTGTCAATTAGCTGATGACACAACTCTTTTTTTCAGTCACGAAAAGAAATAAGTCTGGCTCTTAGTATTATTGAAACATTTGGCAGCTTTTCAGGATTAAAACTAAATAGAAATAAAACAGAGGGGATATGGTTAGGAAAATTAAAAAGTTCAAAAGATAAATATGAAAATATAAATTGGACAAATAAACCAATTAAAAGCTTAGGTATTTACTTTGATTATGACAGAAAAGAATGTGACACACTGAATATGGAAAAAGTCATGGATAAAATAGCGAAACTTGTAGATAGATGGTCAAAACGAAGATTAACCCAATTGGGAAAAATAATAATCGTAAAAGCTCTTTTGCTACCAAATATAACTTACATTGCAACTAATAGTATCATAAGTAAAGATAAACTACAAAATATTAATAATTTAATATATACATTTATTTGGAATGGAGGAAAAGATAAAATAAAAAGGTCAATAATTACTAAAAATTTTTCAGAGGGGGGTTTAAATATGATTGATATCGAGTCTTATATAAAATCAATACATATAAAATGGATTATAAAAATAATACAATCAGGGAATGCAAATTGGGCTGTATTACCAAAGCTATACCTCAATAAATTTGGCAAAAACTTACTTATTTTCAAGATAAATTTGAGTAAAATAAAAATGCTAGATAAAAAAATATGGAACGAAACACCAATTTTCTATCAAGAGATGATAAAAACATGGATAAATGTTAACAATTGTAACAATATTAATCATGATCAAATTGAGAATTATTTAGATATTAGAAAACAAATAATATGGGGAAATAGATTTATAAAATTTCAAGGAAAATGTTTGTTCTTTGATAACTGGATTGACAGCGATATATTATATATTAATGACATAATCGATAAAAGGGGGAAGATATCAGAAGAAAAAATTATTTCAAAATTGAAAAATAAAAGTAATTGGATTGCAGAAATCTTAAAAATTAAAAATTCCATACCAAAACGATGGGTCAACATATTATAATCAGAAGAATCATTCAAAACTAATGTTCATATTAACCGAACTAGAATCAAATTTCGAGACAATACTGATATCCTTACTATCAATAATAAAGACATATATAAAATAGTGCTAGGTCAAGTAATAACAGAAACGCCAATTGGATTTGCTAAATGGGAAAGACTCTTTGGTAATGGAAGTCTCAAAAATGAATTTAAAGACTCTATTAAATTCACTTTTGAGTATCTAAAAGATAATAAAATAAAAATGTTCAGATGGAAATTAATGCATTTTATTTTACCAAATGAACAGCTGCTTTTCCAGTGGAAAATTGCACAAAATGACCTATGTACTTATTGCAATGAACTAGATAACTATAACCATTTCTTCATTACATGTCAATATCATAAAATATTTTGGAAATCAATGAAAGATTTACTCAAAAGAGTTGGCATAGAAGAACATGTTATAAGTCTCCGTTCTCTTGTCATAGGATACAAAATTAATGATAAAGCTTACTTTGCACTTAATCAGTTGCTTAGTTTAATGTTCTTTTCAGTCTATAAGGCACACTATGTTTCGAATAAAAAATCTAAATGGGTAGATACAATGAAAATATTTAAATATGAAATAAATAATATAGTAGAATTATATAGTTTGGTAAACATGAAGATAAACTGTTTATTAACAAAAGTGTATAACATTTTGAGAAAAAACTAAGGTAATGTTATAGAAATGTGAAAATATACATGTAGCATAAAGTATTTTGTAATATCAATATGCTGTCAATGTGCTTATAAATGCACCTGATACCTTAAATGTTAAGGTATACAAGTACTTATTATCTACTTATAATATATATATGAAAAGATCTGTACTTGGTGTGTGTGTGTGTGTTGGTGTGTGTGTGTGTGTGTGTGTTGGTGTGTGTGTCTACATTGTACAAGTATGTATATATGGGTGTGGATACTTTATTTGCTTCAAAATAATTGGCTAAGAAATAAAGAAAAAGGGGTAAAAATAAAGAACAATATAACTAATACCATGTTACTGGGCAGATATAGTAACTAAGTGTACAGAATTTGATGTTATTCTTGAAAATTTGAGGCAATTAATATTTTATAGCCTATCTGCATATAATTTCAAATGTGATGCTTAAAATGTATAAAACATGCAACTATGAAGGAGTTTTGTGTGTGTATCTTGGATGTTTGAATCTGTCTGTGTGTGTGTAGTACGAATATGACTTCAGAAAATTCAAGTATGTGTATGTTTACAAAATAGCGGATAGGTATTTTAAGGTCACGACACGGGATCATGTTCAATTGTTCATAACGTTATGTAGGTCAAATAAATAACACATTTATTTCAAATCATTTGATTTATAACAGATAAAAACATATAATTAAAACATCTCACCTTTTCGTATTTTTATTCCAAATTACAAAACATTGCAGAATTGTGTAAATCCCAACTTGAAGCACAAAAAAACGTGCGAGGTCATCGACCAGTGACCGCATTTAGTTTCTGGAACATTTAAGATAGTATACAAAAACTCATTCCGAAATAAATAGTGATAAATTCCGTAATATATTGACGAACTTTTGTGATAACGTGTGTAATGTTACATGAATATATAGTATTTTATATAGAAAAAAATAAACATATTTTGTAGTAGACTATTTAAAACAGCTATTTGTAATAGCAATTTATTTATTTAGATATTGATAGAATTTTTTTTTTGTTAATTCTACTGAATATTCTCCCTGGATATTCGGTGGCACTATTAACAGGGATACTTGATGGAATGCTGTACATCAAGTGTTATTGTTAACAGCAAGTTGTGCAATAAAGTATCAATTTGAGTGTTAAAAAAAAAAAAAAAAAAGTTATTTCATTCAAATCAAAAGTTTACCTGTTACACATATGTGTCTTCTTCATACTTTATATCCTTGCGCTTACATAAGTTCTGATTGTAAGTGGATAGTCTATATTAATTCTATGATAGAAAAAGCCTCAATATCACTAATAATACCAATAAAAATGCCTGTCAGAAAAAAAATGACAACTACTGTACAAAAAATTCAAGCTGAGACCATTATGCCTTTCAATAAGTTATTTCATTCACATCAAAAGTTTCCCTGTTACACATATGTGTCTTCTTCATACTTGATATCCTTGCGCTTACATAAGTTCTGACTGTAGTTAAGTGGATAGTAAATTTCTTGTGGATTTATAATTTTTTATATTTTAACTAAACACAGAATTTACATGACATCCTTATTCTTCTAATTTTTGAATATTCTATTGAAGTATAACAACTATCTACGTATTGTCTACGAAATGCGGATCGTTTAGAAAACCGAAATGCTACTTGATTAACTATTTAAGTAAGTACATATTCTTCATGAGTTTTATTTTAAACACTGAATCAAGTTGGGAAACCCTTGCATAGACGACAAAACATAGAAAAAGAAATCTTTTGACTAAGATATATATCATACATATTGTTTGTTATGAGAGATTTTAAACTTTTCAACTTTTTCAGGAAATATTTAGAAAAATTTTGACAAACAAATAACAAATGTTAATTTGGATTGCACTTGACAAAATTGCCGGTTTCCTGTTTTCGGATATTTCATGGGAAAATGTTATTTTTGAAATCACAATAGTAATGTTTGGTCATGACATTTTGTCAATTTCTGTATTTTCATCCTTGTTATCTTTCGGAGCACCTGAGATCACCCCAAGTTTTTTTTTTTTTGGGGGGGGGGAGGTGTTGCTCTGTCTTTAGTTTTCTATGTTGTGTTTTGTGTACTATTGTTTGTCTGTTGGTCTTTTTCCTTTTTAGCCATGGCGTTGTCAGTTTATTTTTGACTTATGAGTTTGAATGTCCTTCTGGTATCTTTCGCCTCTCCTTTAGAATAGAGTTACATTTTGCATATGAGTCCGATTTCCTATTTTCGTAGAATTTATGATTAAATCTTAGTTTTTGTCTCAAAATTATTTTAATTTCTGGTAATGAATTGTTATCAGTTTCTTCAAACAGTCATGTTACGAATATTTTGAATAGAGTTAAATTATAATAAAATATCTGATCCATCAAAAACATAAATATCAAACTTGCGTTGAATTTAAAAAAAAACAATGATTTTAACCCAAGTTCATCTATTCTAACACCCGTTTACGTAGTAGCCTTTTAGTCTACCAAATATGATGACTTCTTGACATGAAATCACTCATGTAGCTTCCGTTGCAATTTTATTGATGCTTCAGCCTTTCATCCATAGATTAACTGGATTATAAAACTCAAGCCACCGATTTTGAATAAACAAAATATTTTATAATAAATTTTTGAGATATGTCTCCCCTTTAGGTAACCTTAATAGTATAATGTAAGTATTGAATCAAAATGAATCAACGTTAGCATGTAAACTATGCAAACATACAAAGTAAAATAAAAATTGAGTGAAGATGCTTAGCCAAATAATCTCCGTGGACCATGGACATGATATATCCCAATGCTAACACAATTGCATACCAAATATCATTGACGTATCGTAAGTGCCTACCATCCAAACTGTTACATGATGTAAACTATTCAATAGTTCCAACATCAATGAACCATGATTTACGGGGCGGGATATATAATTTATATATATAATAACAGTTCAACGGGAAAACTAGCGAACACTATACAAAATTGAATACAAAAACCGCTAAATTACACGCTACTGACATCTTTATTTTAATTGGCTTTGAACTAGCTCACAGTAACTGCCAGTACTTTTGAATTCTGGTGAATAATTACATGGTAATCTGTAATTTATCACACAGAAATAACGGTCATTCAAAGTAAACATTCGAGACATTCCAAGTTAATAACTGTTATAAAGGTAATCAAGAGCATATGTACAAGTTAAAGTAATTATTTTAAACACATACTTTCCTAATTTGTAGAATCAAATGACCAATTATTTTTCTTGTCAACCAACGTTGTTATCAGAGTAGAAATTGGAATAATTCCATTTAGAAACGTTGTATGGAAACCTTTTATAGAAAATCTTCGAATCGTCCTTTCCAGAAGTCGAATTTCAATCGGTCTTTAATATTAATTAAAATTTTAAGTGAAAGAAGAATGTAAACTCGAAGATTTATTTAAACTCACTCTCGATGAATAACGTCATTCACTTACAATATAAATTGATTGGTCGATTGATGGGTGTTTGACGCTACTTTCAGCACTATTATGCAATTTCGTAGCGGCCGATTTTTATTGAGGGAAGAAGTCGGAGCGCCTTCGGTAGGAAAACTCACAATTGCGGGATTCAAACAAACAACATCAGTGTTGACAGCTAGTGATACAGTTGTAGTTCGACTACCTAGACCACCCGGTAACCAAAGCCCCCTTTCACTAATAACAAAAGAAACTTCTAACATAAACCATTAAAATGTTTTGAATAAATGACTTACGTAATATTGTATCTTCTTTTAAAGAAATTGAAAAGTTATTTCATGCACATCAAAAGTTTACCTTTTACACATATGTGTCTTCTTCGTACTTTATATCCTTGTACTTACTCAAGTTCTGATTGGATTGTCCATATTACTTTTATGATAGAAAAGCCTCAAAAACACCAAAGGTCTCGTTGAAAGTTTAAACTAAACCGTGTGTATTTGGATATAATACACATAACATTCATATTCTTCCAATAGTATATTCTTTTAAAGTATGAAAAAAGTAAAATAACAAAAATACCGAACTCCGAGGAAAATTCAAAACGGAAAGTCCGCAATCAAATGGCAAAATTAAAAGCTCAAACACATCAAACGAATGGATAACAACTGTCATACTCCTGACTTGGTACAGACATTTTCTTATGTAGAAAATGGTGGATTAAACCTGGTTGTAAAGCTAGCTAAACCTCTCACTTGTATGACAGTCGCAAATAAACACAAAAAGGCATACAGACAAAGCACATTAGCAAAAATGAAAGACAAGAATACAAAAAAAAATTACCATAGCACAATAACACACTGACGGTATGTATAAGTAAAGAGCCACGTCATATGTAACAAAGAAACACAAAAGGCATAAAGACAAAGCACATTAGCAAAAATGAAAGACAAGAATACAAAATGTTTTACCATAGAACAATAACACAATGACGGGATGTATAAGTACAGAGCCACGTCATATGTAACAAAGAAACACAAAAGGCATATAAACAAAGCACATTTATTTAGCAAAAATGAAAGACAAGAATACAAAATTTTTTATCATAGAACAATAACACAATGACGGGATGTATAAGTACAGAGCCACGTCATATGTAACAAAGAAACACAAAAAGCATATAAACAAAGCACATTAGCAAAAATGAAAGACAAGAATACAAAATGTTTTACCATAGAACAATAACACAATGACGGGGTGCATAAGTACAGAGCCACGTCATATGTAACAAAGAAACACAAAGGGCATATAAACAAAGCATATTAGCAAAAATGAAAGACAAGAATACAAAATGTTTTTACCATAGAACAACAATACAATGACGGGATGTATAAGTACAGAGCCACATCATATGAAACAACTGTTGTCTACGAAATTCGGATTGTTTCGAAAAAATATCGAGTAAACAAAAATGTAACTGGTTTAACTATTTAGGCAATTAAAATTTCTTGATGAGTTTTATTTAAAACACCGAAGCAAGTAGGGAAACCCTTGCATAGACGACAAAACATAGAAAAAGTAAGCTTTGGACTAAGATATATATCATACATATTGTTCGTCAATAGTTAATCCAATTGCAAGCTGGGAAACCCTTGCATAGACGATTATACATTGAAAATTTATGAAAATTTTGACAAACAAATATTAATTTTCAAAGCACTTGACAAAATTGCCGGTTTCCTGTTTTCGAAGATTTTATGATTTTCTCAAGATTCTAAATATAAATGTATGGTCTTGACATGTTTTTAGTTTCCGTACTTATATAAAAACATTCCGTAACAATTGTATTGATGTTTAATTTTATAACGTGTTGTTTTCATTTTTTACGCCATTCCTGCATAGATTGACTGACTATTAACCTCAGCCACCTATTTCAGATAAACTAACCATTTCAAAATAAAACTGTTGACACAGACATATGTCTCGTCTGTATGTAACTTTGAGAGTATAATGTAAATGTTAAATCCAAATAGCAAAACTTTAGCATGTGTGCGAACAAAAAGTCTTAGTATCTTCCGATGAACTTTTTTTAGAAAAAGGACGAGACGTTCTTGACAAAACCCTGGTTCATCAACTTTCTGCTCTCATACTGGTGACGCTTTATAAAGACTGAGTAGCAGCTAGAAGCTTTTTAATACCGAATAAGTTGGGAAATGTATATCCCATATGCAGTTGAAGTTTGCATATTACTGCTAAGGTGGGGGAAATTTATAATTTAAAAATTCAAATCGTCTCGTTTGTCATACATTCTGGTACTGAGATGAGGGCATACGTCAAATTCGAGGTATAAGTCTAAAATGAGGTGGAGGAAGTTGTGTATGTTGTTTATTTGATTTCTAGTTCTGGAGAATATATTAATGGAACCAAATCAGAAGAGTTTTGGATTGTTAATTGAAAGATCATCATCAATATATCTAAATGCGGAATTAAATGATGTGGCTTCTTTGATCTTCTTGTTTTTGACAAGTGTCTGAAGGAACTCCGACTCATATGAAAATAAAAAGAGGTCGGCATGGAGAGGCTCACAGTTCCTTTCCATAGGAATGTCGACAAACTATTTAGTAGTTGTTTTTAACCTGTATACAATATCACATACTGAATAATCGATAAGTCTGAAAACTGACTCAAAGACTGAACA